GAGATATAAAAAGACAAGTAGCATTGTCTTGGATAACAGAGTTAGAGAAACTTGAATATCTATCAATAATGAAATGGATAAATAAGATGTGGCCTCTCTGCAGGATGTGAGACTATGCAATATTCAAAAAGATCAAGCTAAAGCTACATACATCAACATGGAAGATCTAAAAAGCACAATATTCAGCAAAAACAAAACTGAGAAACAGAATGAAATGTCTATGTAGATAATGTGAAAATTATTCTAGATATATACTCATGAACACACACAAAGAAATGAATGTATAGGCAGTGAATTAAAAGTGCACCCTTTAGGCAGGTGTCAGAGTGGCTAAGGCACTAGACTCGCACATGACTGACTGCAATTTGAGTCCTAGACATGATGGCTTTAAAATCATGCCAGGTGTGTGCATGCATGCCCCAAATCTCGGGAGAATGGAGGAGAAATGATGATGGGGTGGACATTCCCCCAAAAAGTGATTTCTCACATTCCCTCTCTTTGTCTCTCTTTGTCTCTCTCCAGCAAGCACATGTGCCCTATGGAGAAAAAACCTTAAAAGGGGGGAAGCATATATTAGATACTAAGGAATGGGGGTGCCAACAGATGGCATAGCAGTTATGTCACTGGACTCCCACATGGTTGATGCTGATTCAAGTCCCAGACCTGGAGGCTTGAAAATCATACCAGGAACATGTGTGTGTGTACCCAAGAGCTTGGGAGGAGAATGAAGAAAGGATTGCAGTGTGGCCATCCTCCCTCTCTTTGTCTCTCTCTCTCTCTCTGGTGAGCACATACGTCCAAAGGCAAAAGACTTTAAAAATAAATTTAAAAAATAAAAAGGAGTGGGTATCTATTCAGGAAGGTAAAGGTGGGAGAAGAAAAAGGATAAAGTATTGTCCCGACCCAGGGGGACAGCCGAACAAGTTTCCTGAGTGAAGGAGTGAGAGTCAGGACAAGCGGCGTAGTGTTACAGCACGAAGACGACACCGTGTCTTCAGTGTCGTCTGTTTATTGTGGGCAGCAAGGTACAGCACGGAGACGCAGTGTTACAACTCTTCAGGGTTGCGTCATCTATTGTGAGCAGCATGGAGACGATGCAGTGTCACAACTCTCCAGGGTCGTCCGGAGACAATGTAGTGTTACAACTCTTCAGGGTCTTCAGGGTCGTCTGGAGACTGTGTGGTGTTTCAGCTCTTCAGGCTCTCCAGGGTCGTTGTCTTCTTCCTGGTCGTCTGTGTCGTCTTCCTGGTCGTCTGGGTACTATGGGCCAGGCATCGTGGTTATATACATGCTGGTGGGCCATGATTGGTTGTAAACAGTGGGCCGTGATTGGTTGTAAATGGTGGGTTATGATTGGTTGCTTTTGGACCAATCATGAGGTGCCGGATATGCAAATCTGAGGGATTCTAGTGGCCAATCAGAGCAAAGTTTCGAAGGTCAGGTTTTTAGAAGGGAACCAATCATGGCCCACCCTGCAAGCTGTTTGTGGTGGTGTGCACTTGCAGTCCCAAGTGCTGGGAAGCCAACATAGGAGGAATGTGAGATTGTGGCCAGTGTGGATGACATAGCAAGACTGGGCGAAAGACCAGTGTATGGTGGCATATGTCTGTGGTCGCAGCTACTCAGAAGACTGAGGCAGAGGACTGCAAGATAGTGAGACCCTGTCTGAAAATACACCACACACAGGCATAAAATAAAAATGATATATAAAGTGTGCTCAATGGACTAATGAGGACTATGTATCATAAATGTAGGAATGTGAGGAACTGCATCAGTCCATATCTGAGGAATGGATGTCGAACTTAAAACCCAGAGACTGTGTACTGCTCACGTCACGGACGATGACAGTTCCCCTCTTCTCTGCATTGGCGTGTTTTACATCTGAAGCATAGACTTTGGTCTTGAGCAGTACATTTAAGAGGCACTGATGAGCTGGATTGTGCCCAGAACAGGGGAAGGGACATGTGAGGGACCTGTTTCATGTAATGGACAGTTGATGAAAAGAAGACTGAGGCGCATTAGAGTTTTAAGGGGGAAAAAATGTTAGGTATCAGTTTGTTCACTCTCTCATGATTGCCTTTTAACTAGTAAAGACATGAAATCTAGGGTGGTCAAGTGACTTTCTATGGTCACATAGAAATGACTATTATTTTCAGATATTTGAAAAATTGTTATGTGTAAGAAGAATTAGGATATTTAGAGAGAATCACTAGTATGAAAATAAGCAAGTTCCAAGAAGAAAAAGAATTGTTTAGAAACAGAGTTTCACATCGTTGTGACTCTTATGCCTCAGTCAACAGATGGACAAGGGTCAAGGGTCAAGCCACCACCCCTGGTTTATGCACTCCTCCTCCCCCTAGGTGGAGTGAATGAGGAGTAGTCAAGGGAGATGCCAGGAATGTCACTCTAGCTGAAGCGCTTCCGTTTGAAAAGGATGTCTACCTTGGGGGAGGTAGGTTAGATTAAGAGGACTCTGAGTTTCCTACCATTATTCGTCTGAGGCTACATTTTTCAGAATATATTTTCAGGTTAGCTTGCCTCTGTTTTCCTTCATTTCCCCATCTCCCCTTTACCACTTGATTCATACCTTCTTGATTACTCATTTCCCTAGCTGACTTAACTGCTGTTTAGGCTAGGCTAAGAAGACCTCTTTCTAAGACCAAGTTATTCATGATTCCTCCTTTCCCAAGGTTGGTATACAGAGTTTCTGTGACACAAACCCACTCTAGGGATCCCAGGAAGCTCTCAGGCAACATCAAACACAATTTGCAGACAGGCCTTCAACAGGTATTATGTAGAGATGGAGAAAGCACCAACAGAAACTCTAGACCTTAAAGGATCCATCAGACCCTTTCTTGTCCTTATTGCAAAACAGACGCAGGGTCCTCCTAACCCCTATTCACATACAAACATCTGGCAGAAAATAGTAAAGACAGAGAAGCAAGAAAAATAGAATCATTAACAGAAGGTTGGGAGTAGGAGTGAAAGAGAAGAATCAATGTCTTTACATATTTAAAGAACTTTTCGATAGATGAAGGATTAGATTTTATTTTATTCCGCTCTAAAGACTGGGACTAGTGCATGGAGGGGAGCATGGAGGGAGCCATGACGGAATGATGGGCATTTGTTCCACTTAAAGAACTTTCAGACTAGGAGTATGGGCTACCCTCCTGTGAGACTGCGCATCCCTGCACTACCGAAGGTGGGGAGCATAGCTTACGATGTCTGGGATGTAGTAGAGACAATTTAGGAATGTGGCCAAGGAATGAGCTGTATCAATTGCCTAATCTGTCTCCCAACCCTGACTATCCACAGCCATGTGGACAGAAATGTCTGGTTTATGATCTCAAAGGATCTTTTGTGGCAAGGAATCACCCTTCACTTCACCCAGCAATCTGTTTAACTTAACATCTCTCATTTCACTCATATTCCCAATCATCTCACACCATCCTTACCGCTTCATAATCTGTTACCAAAGACCGCGGCCTGTTCTAACCTCTCTTTCTCCTTCAACAGATTCTGATGTAGGTGACTATTTTGTCCTCCTCAGAATCTCCTCTTACCTTCGGTGACACCGTGGAATCTTGTCTGCATGCTTTTCTGTATTTTAAATTCTGCCTTTTAAGTGTGGGTATGAAATTGCCAATGACCTAGTTCTTTTTCTTCTTTCTCTCCTTAGTCTCAGCTTCAAAGTGTGGCTACAATGAAGGTAATTCACATCTTAGCTATATGTTTTTTTTTTTTTACATTTATTTATACTTTCTTCCATGAGAAAAAAAAGAGTCAGAGAGAGAGAAATAAAAAAGAGAGAGAGAGAAAGATTGGCATCCTCAACAGGGTCTTCGTGCTGTGATTCATCCCCAGACTTGGCCAACACTCAGTGCATTCAGGGAAGTCCTAGGACATGAACTCAGGCCCTTTCCCTTCTGGGTTGAGTTGTGTTGCCACTGCACCACCGCCTGGCCTCCTTTTGGTTCTATATGTAAAATTGAAGCTATAGTGTCTCATCTTCGTCTATTCTAGAAATGTTCTACTTTATTATAGCTGTCACTTCAAACTTTTTTTTTTTTTTTTTTTTACCTAAAATAAACTCACCGTCCTCACTTCTGAAGTCTGAGTTGGGTGCACAATTTATGTGCTTAATGAAGACCCCCTTACTTCCTCTGTCATTAGGGCAACTGTACTCTGATTTACCTGGACAGTGTGCTAGCTTAACTACTAATAGCAGCTCCTTTCATTTCCCAGTGAGTCCCAGTAGATCATGTAGTGGCCTCCTTATCACAATATTTTAATTGCCTATGTTCTTTGTATCTCCGACCTGTGACAAGCTCTAACATTTAGTAGAAATTGAGTAACTGTTGAATGAAAGAAGTATTGAGTAGAACTAGTAGTCTTCTGTGAAGTAAACTTTCTGCAGTTGACTCAATTAGCCTGTCATTTATCCTTGCTGGGGCTCCTTATCTCTAAGGCAACTCTCCCTCCAGCCTGTAAGTTGTGAGTTAACAAAGATCTAGCCAGTTTCAGCGATCCTGTGACCCAGTCCATAACCTTTAGATGCAGGAGACTTGGTGATGGAGACCCTGGGGTAGGGTGGACTGTATTGCTACAGCACCCTCTAGTGGCTATCACATGGAACTCATCACAAAGTCCTTTCTGTCTATTACAGCCTCTAGGTTGATGGGTCCATGGATCTCAACCCAGATTTCATTTGAGTTTGAGGTAAGACATACCCATTAGTATTTCTTAAAAAAAAAAAAAATGAAAACAAAACAAAACTATCCAAATAAGGAACAGCAGATGGCGTAAAAGTTACGTTGCTGGACTCCTATGTAGTCAACTGCAGTTTGAGTCTTGGACCTGACAGCTTAAAACTCATACTGGGTCCATGTTCATGCATGCCCAAAATCCTGAGAGGAGAATGCTGGAAAAGGGACTAGTGATGGCCATCTCTCCAGGAGATGACTTCTCACTTTCTGTCTCTCTGGTGAGTGCACGTACCCTATAGCAAAAATATCTCTTTAAAAAAAGTTATCCAGATGATTCTAATTCTTAATTAACTTTGTGAAGGTTGACAGGTGTAGGCTGTGCTAAACTGACCAGGTGGCCACTTTCAAAATACGGTTTTTGATAGATCTGCTTCTTGGTGTATAGAAGAATTTACTCAGTACTGACAAGGAAGAAGCATTTCTCCAAATCAGTAGTTCTCAACTGGTGAAGATATTCCCCACCAGGGAACAGCGGCAATGTCTATAGACACTTCGAACTGCCATGAAAGACAGAGGTTGCGTTACAGCCTGCAGTGGACCAAGATCAGGATGCTGCTGAATGTTCTACAGTACGCGGGACAATCCCACCCACAAAAAAACTATCCCATCCCAAATGTCAATAGTGCCACATTTGAGGCACCCTTCTCTAGATGTCCTCTACAAGGAGAATTTGGGGAAGTTCAGGGTAGTCCCCGGGATTACTCTAGCAGTGACAAAGGCTAAGCAATTCTTTAAATGCAATTCTCTTCTGGTGTGGAGGGTGGTTTCCGACCTTTGATAGAAGGGAACATGAACCCTTCTCTACCCCCAGGAAAGGGCAAACCTTACAGCCTATCCAATCCAGTCAGTCAGGACTTCATAAATACTCTGTAGCAACATCACTCCATGAGTGTGTCTTGCCACAGTGCTGTGCGAGGCAACCTCTAGGAAACACAGACCAAATGGCACTTTTCTTAATGATTCGCTGTTTTACTTATTCCGGAGAAGTAGAAACATCAGGAGGAACATGCACTTGCAGCCATCATGTGCACCCTTTAAGAAGCACATCCTGGTAAGTGTCCTACACATGTGTGGGCCACACCCAGTTTTATTTCAGAATATTAGTCCCTTACAACCGAGAATGGGTCTGTTCCTCCTGAATTCTCCAGAGTTCAGATATGTGTGCTCAAAAGAAAATAACACTCAAGGAGAAACATGGGGAAACCAGACTCTAAAGTCTCAGTTTTATTTTTTAATTTTTTTCCATGAGTGAGACAGAGACACAGAGACAGCACCCACAGCAGGGTCTGGAAGCTGTGATCCACCTTCAGCTTCTACCACTCCCACGTTATTGGCACACATGCCCAGCATTTTCGGGGAGGTCTCCGGATACGAAGCCAGAACCTTCTCACGTGAGTCAGCCTCTCAGTGTCGTATTTTACTGCCGTGCCACTGTCCAGCCCCACCAGTTTTATTTTTTTAAGCCTGAAGAAAAGGTGAGCGCCTGCCCACACACCACGCCATTTGGGGGAAACCAGAGAATGGCTGAAGAGTCGCTGGAAGGCATTCTCTTCTTTCCAGCTTGTAACCCAGGTCGGGCATCGGGGTGGGGAATGACATCGAGTGTCATTTGATGGGCAACTCCAAAGATTCCTTCTAAGATGCAGCTCATACCCCAGCGTAGTCCTGAGCCTCAGGACACTTTGAGGGCATGGCCTCTTCTTTCCCCTTTGTGTCTACCCTTCCATTGGGTAGAATTCAGCTACAGGAAAAGCCCAAGTGTTGGCCCTGAGCTTGCAGAGCAATTTGATTGTAGTAAAGGCATTATGAGTGTTCATAATCCCAGGGTTTACCAATCCCTGGTAGTAGCTGCATCGTTCTGAGAATAGACAGCTAGTGAGCCTAAGGTTAGCCAAGGGTGGTGGACATTCACCATCACAGCCTGTCCAGTACCCGAACCCGACGTCCACTATTTAAGGGATTTCCTAACACATCAGAGGCAGAGCCCACCAGCAGTATGAAAGTAAAACGTGCCGAATACTCAGTTCTCAGTCTTCGTTGGAATTAGGATGTGGACATGTGACTCAAGGCTAGCCCCCTCAAACTCAAAGTTTAATTTAAAAGCGAGAGATAAAAATACGAAGAAGGAACCCTGGAGAATTCATCTGGGTGGCAGACAGTACAGCAGTCACAGTAATATTGAGTATCCATGTCCACAGAGTGGACAGAGTGAGTGAGGCAGGGTGGAGACTGTGTCTAAGGCTGGGGACAGTGGCCAAGCAGCTGTGGTGCCCAGGGTCAGCCCCTCTGGATTGGCTTTATGAGTTGGATCGTGGGCTTAGCTACACCTAGTCTTCCTTTCTCCAGCTCACTTTCAAAGTATGATTTTGCAGAACCTCCCAGGAGTTATTTGAACCAAACAATGTCTTTTTGATAGATTTTTTTCTACATTAAAAAAAGTCCAAAGTCAGTTTCTGTTGATTGCAACAAAGTATGCTATTACAAACATTGGTAGCAGAAAATGGGACACCCTAAACAACAGAACATAAAATATGAATTGAATGAAGAGAGGAGGTAAAATACAAAGCAATAACGGCCCAACTTTTGAGCTGGGAAATTAGTGATTGTTGAGATGCAATGGAATCATCACTGGCAATTTCTTTCCTTTTCTCCCCCCACCTTTTTTGTACACTAGAGGGTATATGCACTCATCTGAGAGGGAAGCACCCTTCCCCCATGGGGTGTGGTCATGCTGCAATCCCTTTTCCTCGATTCCTCCTTCTCTTTAGGATTTAGGGCAGGCACTCCTACAAGTTTTGTTTGCTTTTCAACCACTGGGGCCAGGATTTAAACCTCAGTCATGTGGAATCTGGCTCCTATAACCATGGGTTACATGAGCTTAGGTCTGGCCTCAAGCTCCCATAACTGGTTATTTCTTAAAATGTTCCAAGAACCTGTAAAAATTAAAAAAAAAATTTTTTTAATGAATCTTAAATTAAAGATGGTCTGTCAGAAGGAGAGACTAGGGAGAAAATAGAACCTTATCGTAGGGCTCTGTCTGTAGCTTGCAGTCTCAGTTACTGAGCCTTCAATCAGTTGAAGTTGTTGGGCTAAAATAAATTAATTTTCAACTTAACGACAAGTTTAGTGTGAGCAGAGGTATTCTGGGAGTAGGAGGTGCCTGTTAGAGACCCTGACTGCAATACCACATGAGTCCTTGAATGGAAAACAGGTTTGGAACAAGGCTGGAGACGTCTTAGCTGAGGCTCTAGGCTTGTTACTCAAGGTGGGGGGAGGGAATACAGAGAACTAGGATTTAAAAGTCATTTGTGGAAGTGAAAAAGCACCCTGGGACAGATTCTTCTGACTATTCCAAGTCCCTTTGTAAAAGCTTCACCAAACACTTGCCACTGTCTTTAAAACTGAGTGCCCTTTGCACAGAACTGTACTTGTAAAGGTTGTAGATGATTTCCATTCTGCTGTTCCAAGGTCTGAGACCTCTAAGACATTCTTTCAGTTTATTGACTTAATAGCTTCTAGGTTTTGCAAATAAAATACTGATTGTCTTAGCTTTCCTTGCAGAATAATTTCAGAGTGTTTTACATGGAACAGGGAATTCACCCTCCAGTCTTCATTCATCCTTCATCCGAAGAGCAAAACTGAGGCAGGTGTGCAGGCGATCAGAGTCAGCTCCCAGAACAAAGTACAGACCGCCGAAATGTAAACTTCTCCAGACTTTGTGGCTGGCAGTCAGTGGTTTGAGATAGGTCCTAGATGTCCTGGCTTTCCGTCTTTGATTTTTATCATCCGTCACAGCAAAGAGCAAGACGCCTGGATTTCTAGACTCGCACTATCCGTTCCGTCTGCTACACACAAAGTAGCTATCTCTCTGGTCTGTGCCTGCGCCCACAGCAGAGCAGGCTAAAGGCTTGGGAGGCCTCACTTCCGTGTCCGTGGCACAGGTGGATGTGGAAGAAACGTCCCCAGGAAGTCGATCTGGGAAGGGTGCAGCTGTGTGGAGTGTCTGTCATAAGGAACTTGGGTCTCAGGGCCTAGTTCCATGTTTATTTTGTTTCTTCCAATTTTTTCTTCAGAAAGTCCCTGTCTTGGTCTGCGGTGTCAGCTTTCTGGAAGTGTCACGCTGGCATAGACTGTGATGGAACTTGGTTCCTGGGGCAAGGCAGAAAAATGTTGTGAGTAGAGGATCCAGGCACTAGCTTCTCAGGTTACTGCTTTTAGGAAAAGAAAAGGATCTCAGAGACCATGTAGCCTAATGACATGCTGCTATAAACAGGGCATGGCTGGAGGCAGCATTTAGACCCCCAGCCCAACCTGCAGAAAGGACCACAGCTCCCTTCTAAGGATAAGCTTGTCATCAGGGAGACAGAAAGATGCTCAGTGCCCTGCCTCCCTCCTTGCCCTCATCTCTCCTCTTAGAAGGAAAACCATTTGTTTACTTTTAGACATGGGGTACAATTTGGGGAAGCCAAGAGAATTCTAAACTAATGATCTTTGAAAAGATCTAGCAAAACCTAAAGAGAGAGGGTGATACCAACAGGAGAGGGAGGAGAGGACAAGAGGATGGTGGGTGGGCAGACCTTTCATAGACAGGGGTGAGTCCAAGAAAGAAAGAGAAGGGAATGGGAAATTTAGGGTTTTTTTTTTAATTAAAAAAATTTTTTAATAAAATGTGAAATATTAGGAGACTTCAAAAATTTCAAGGGAAATGGAATTAAAGAACAAATTTTGGGGCCAGCAGATGGTGTAGCAGTTACGTCACTGGACTCCCACAGGGAAGAGCACAGTTGAAGTCCTGGACCCCATGGCTTGAAAATCATATCAGGTGCACGTGCGTGTGTGCCCAAGATCCTGGGAGGAGAATGGAGGACAAGGAATTGCAGCATGGCCATCTTCCCTGAGGAGTGATTTCTCACTTTTCCTTTTATTAAAAAGAAAGAAAGAAAGAAAGAAAGAAAGAAAGAAAGAAAGAAAGAAAGAAAGAAAGAAAGAAAAAAAGAAAGAAAAGAAAAAGAGCAAGTTTAGGTATGTGTGCTCACCAGAGAGAGACAGAGAGAGGAGAAAGCATTCCTATGGGAAGTCGTCATGCTGCAATCTCTTCTCCACCCGCGCCCTGGGATTTTGGACATGCATGCATACACACCCAGCATCTTTCTCAAGCTGTTGAGTCCAAGACTTGAACAGAGTGGTTGGTCACGTGGGATCCAGCTGTCTTAACCACCAAGCCACAGAGACAGCCCATAGTTTATTCATAATATTTTCCACGAACTTTTTGAGGACCTCTTATATGACAGGTCCTCTCCTTTACCAATTAAACTTAATTTAAACTCTGTGATTCTTTTCTTTAAATCAGATTTACATTTTATTTTCCTCAGATATGACAATATACTTAGAACAGAACTCAAATGAAGACCTATTTCATCTTGAAAGAGAGCACCCGCCCTGGGTGTGTGTGCAATAGGACCTCAGGAGAAGAGGAGATACAGGCAACTGTGTGACCTTGATTCTTCTGGAAATCTGGGCTCTCGCCTAAGCGTTTGATTCAGTGGAGCACAACAGGAGCCACGAGTTTAGCCAGAACTTATTTCCATTCCTTTTGTAAACGGAAAGAGTCCTGTCGTGATGATCTTGCAAGGGAGTAAAACAGGTGACTCACTGAGCTGCACACCACACTCTGCTAGGCTTCACACCTGTACTGAGCTTCCACCTGAAATGCCCTGATTGAATGGGGCTGAGTGAAAGTTAGGCATGGGTGCTTACAGTGCCCCCTGGTGACTGTTCTGCAGCAAGAGTTGAGAACTGGACCCCAGCTGCGATGGCAAGATCTATGTGTGCGTCAGGATCACCTGGTGTGTCCTGTGTTCTAATGCATAGTTCCCTGGGTGCTCCTACAGATGTTCTAATTTAATAGACTCTTGGGTGGAAAGTCCCAGGACTCTCTTTCTCTCTTTTTCTTTTTAAATGTATTTATTTATTTTACGAGAGTGAGGGACAGAGGTAGAGAGAAGCACGAGCCCTGAAAGGTCTTCCCAGGCTGCCTAAGCCTGGGAATAGATCTCAGTGTGGGAACCCTTTTGGGTGTGCCTGACTCTGTATCTGTCTCTCTTGTGGAAGAAATAAATTAATTAATTAAAAAAAAACTCCTCCCCCCTTCCTGTTCGTCCATTTCCTCATTACAGAGAGATGCTCACCTGGACAGGCTCTGGGACAGGTTCTGGGACAGGCTCTGGGTCAGGCTCTGGGTCAGGCTCTGTGGCAGCAACGTAAATGGTGGTGCAGTGGTCATGCACTGGCAGGGGGTCAGGTTTCTTCTGAAGAGCCTACGAGAGAGGCAAAGAAAAGCAGATTAGCAGAGCAGAGGGTGAGATCCTGTCCAGCTCTCTTCAGGGAGAAGCACAAATTCTAGAAGCCTTGAGTTTGAAAACCTCTTGGAGTCTTTGCGTCCAACCTCCATAACCAGGTGGGAATTCTTCTCCAATCTCCCTGGAACTCGATTCTACCTGAACTCCCTGGTGACATCTTGGATCTGCAAACTCCTAAGGCAACCACATTCACTGCTCGCATTTCTCAGGTGTTCCACAGGTCTTCCTCACAGTGAATCGAAATTGGTGTTGTTTTTACAGGCGGACAGAAACTTAATAGACAATTGTTTGTCTCATTCATCACCTGCTCCATGTAGAGTTTGTTCCAGCCCACACTGCTGTTCCTGATATCCTTCACCCTAACACGCATCTTCTCATTCCCTAACAACCTCTCTACATGTTCAATACTGCTGTCGCTCAGTTTACAGATAAAGAAGCTAAAACTCAACAAGGTTACATTCAGTAGTCCCTTGGGATGCACAGAGCATGGTTCCCCAGCAGATATCAAAATCCATAGATACTTAAGTCCCTTACATAATGGCATAGTACTGGCATATAACCTACATATATTTTCCATATGCATAGCTTCACCAGTGCATTCTGCCAAATATTTAAAGGGAGAAGTAAGATCAATTCTACCCACACATTTCTGATGAGAAACAAAAGAAATACAGGTTGGAGTTGGTTGGTTGAACCATGACCCTCACCCCTCAAAGATAGATACTTCCAGAACCTCAGAATGACTGTATTCGGAATAAAGGTCTTCTCAGATGTAATTAAGGGAAAGAATTCAATAAGAGGTCACTGTGGATTATGGTGGTTCCTACATCCAGTGCTGAGTGATCTTGTGAAAAATAGGAAAGAAAATAGAGGCACACAGAGGGGAAAGCCATGCGAAGACGGAGGCAGAGATGCAGTTATGAGGCTACACGCCCACCCTCACCAAAGGTTGCCTGGAGCCATCAGGTGCTGAACGAGGCACAAAGCATCCTCCCCAGAGCCTTCAGTGGAAGCATGGCCCCACCAGCATGACATTTGGTTTTGTACTTTTGGTCTCCAGAACCATTAGAATGAATTTCTGTTGTTTTAAACCAAGTTTGTAGTAATTCTTTATGAAATTTCTTGGAAATGAACATAAGCCCCAACCCATTAGGTGAGGTCGGCATCATCTTGGTATGAAAACCTTGCAGAGGTGTTATAAGAAGGGAGGATTACAGGCCAACTTCACTCAGAAACATAAGTACAAAAAAGGAAAAAAAAGCTTAATAAAATATTAGTAAAAAAAAAATCCAGCATTTAAAAGGGACAAGACTAAATCGCTTCTATTCTTGGAATGCAAAGTTCGTTTAACTTTTGCCAATCAGTGTAGTTCACTGTAGCAGCTGATAAAAGGGAACAAAACAAAAACCAAAAACATGGGACCAGCAGTTGGCATAACGGCTATGTCTCTGAACTCCCATGTAATTGACCGCGGTTTGAGCCCTGGACCTGGTGGCTTAAATTCACGCCAGGTGCAAGTGCGTGCGTGCCCAAGATCCCTAGAGGAGAATGGAGGAGAAGGAATTGCAGCGTGGCCATCCCCCGGGGGGTGATTTTTCACTTTCTGTCTCTCTCTGTCTTTTTGGTGAGCGCACGTGCCCTATCACAAACAAACAAACAAAACCCCCCCCAAACAAAGACCAGTTGATTATCTCAACAAGTGCACAAAGAGTGTTGATATAATTCAACATTAATCATGATAAAATTCAACATCAACTTAGGATAAACTGTCTTGGCAAATCAGGAATAGAGGATGATATTCTTTTTTTTTTCTTTAAATTAATTTTTTTACATTAATTCACTATACATCATTACAGCATACAAAATGAATTTTTCCATCCAAAATACACTGTATATTGGCTCAATCAAGCACATCGACATACATGTTATCAACGAATAATTTTCCACTTGTTATGTCTTGTATATTTTGCTTTTTTTTTTTTTTGCCATCCTTGATTCCCTATCCCTCACCCTCTGCCCTGTCCAATACTCCTCCCACATTGTCTCTGGTATCCATGGTTGCTTTCTATGCCTTTCCCCTCCATTTAATTGATTTGCTAATCAACTAAATTTGTCTAAATATTTGTAAGAGCAAGTGCAGCTGATATATACATATACATGAACCCAAGTCTGACGTTAGGCATAAACCTCAGTGAGTAGAATGAACATACTATAAAGTAGTACCTAGCTGGGGCTATATAGCTTACTGTGGTCATAAAATATGCATTTTTAAAAAATTTTTGATAACAGTTTTAGTGTTTCTTTTTTCTCCTGAAATTTTTTTTATTAATTTACATTCATTCCCTAAGCATCATCACAACATACTAAATGTGGTTTCCCATCTAGGATAAACTGCATAATGGCTTAATCATGCATGTTAGGATGATATTTTTAATGTGATGAAAAAGATACTACAAAAATCTTTATCAAAAACCATACTTAATGGTAAGACATTGAAAACATTTCTGTTTGGTATAGAAATATTACAGGGGTGCCACTACTACCATTTTTATTCACTATTATATAAGAGTTCTCATCCAATAAAATGGGGCAAGGAAAAGCAAGAGAAGTTATGCAAATTGTAAATGAAGAAATAAAACTAATTTTTTTTACCAGCAATACAATTGTGAGCAGAGAAATCTGAATTATCTATAGATAAATGACTAGAACTAATAAATGAGTTTAGCAATATTGCAGGTATAAGGTAAATATCTAAAATTAATTGTTTTTCTATATGTCAGTAATTAATAGCTAAAAATCATTTATTTATTCTTTTTAAGAGAGAGATTCTCACTATAGGGTATGTGTGCTGCCCAGAGAGACACACAGAAAGCAAGAAATCACCCCCTCCAGGGGTGATTGGCTACGCCTTGATCCATTCTCTTCCATTCTCCTCCTGGATTTTGGGCATGCGTGTACACGTACTCAGCATGAGTTTCAAGCCTCTGGGTCTGGGACTCGAACCACAGAAGGCCATATGGGAGTTCATCATCTTAACCATCATGCTACCTGCTGGCCCCTGAAAACTAAATTTTTAAAAAAGTTAACAATGGAATCAGTCAATGGCATGGTGGTTAAGGCAGCTGGATCCCACATGGTTGACAGCACAATTTGAGTCCTGGACCTGGCAGTTTGTAAAACACCAGGTGCATGTGCATGCATGCCCAAAATCCTGAAAGAAGATATAGAAGAGAATAGATTGTAACTTGACCATCCTTTCTAAGGGGTGCTTTCTCACTTTTTCTCCCCCTCTCTGTCTCCCTCCAGCAATCGATCCCACATGCCCTTTAGCAAATTAAAAGATAACAATGATAGTATATCAAAGTATTAAATGCCAAGTAATAAATTATAAAAGATGTACAAGTTCTCTTATGCAAAAAAAAAAAAAAGCCTTCCAGAACATTATTTAGAGAAATTAAAGAAAATCTGAATTAGGAAAGAATATATGTATATATGTATATATACACACACATACATATATATATATACTGAATTGAAAGACTCAATGCTGTAAAGATATGTGTTCTTGTCAAATTGATCAGTGCAGTCTTAATTAAAATTCCAGCACAGGGACCAGAAGATGGCGTAATGGCTACGTTGCCGGACTCCATGTAGTTGACCGCAGTTCAAATCCTGGACCTGGTGGCTTAAACTCACACCAGGTGCGTGTGCATGCATGCCCAAGATCCCGAGAAGAGAATGGAGGAGAAGAGATTGCGGCATGGCCAACCCCCTAGGGGGTGATTTCTTGCTTTCGTCTCTCTGTCCCTATCTGTCATTCTGGTGAGCACATGTGCCCTATAGCAAAAAGCCTCTCAAAAAAAAAAAAAATCGGCACAATTTGGAGGGATTTGACAAACAGATTCTAAAATATAAACATGCAAAGGACCAAAATGGCCATAAATTCTTGAAAAAAAAAAAAGAGCCAAGGGAAGATTCCTTTTATCAGATATAAAAATGTATAATTAATCTGTAATCAAGACAGTGTGGCACTGGTGAAGGTACAAACAAATAGCTCACTGGAGCAGTGCAGAGGACACCAAATCAGGCCTTCACAGAGATGGACCCTTGATTTATGATAAGGATGACAGGAGTGTGGGCAAGGACAATCTTTTCAATAAATGCTCAATAGGATTCTCGTAAGAAAAAACTGAAACTTGATCCCTCTCACACCATACTGTAAAAGTCATTTTTAAGTATATAACATGTAAATGTGATAAACCACACAGCTTTTAGAAAATGATAAAAGAGTACTTTCATTCCTTAGGAATAAAAAAAGATTTCTCAGACAGGACTCAAAAAGCGTTAGTGATAAAGGAAGATTACCAAATTTCTGTATGTTAAAATTATAAACTTCTACTTATCAGTAGATATGTCTTTTTTAAAGAATTATTTTATTGAAATTGATTTATTTATTTATTGTAATTTGACCAGAGAGGGACAGAAAAAGAGGGAAAGTGAGAAAAAGCAAGCTGCCAGGTCTGGGATTCAAACAACAGTTGGCCATGTGGGAGTTCAGTGCTCTTAACTACCATGCCACCTGCCTGTCTCAATATTTCTGAGAAATACCTTCGCCCACAGTTGGGTGAAGGTATTTGCTACACATATAACCGCCAAAGAGTTCATATGCAAAATATATGAAAAGTTTACACTCGGCTGTAAAAAAGCCTGACGCTCAAAGGTAAATGAGCAAGACAGGATTTTAATATGGCCAATATTCATATGAAAAGCTATTCAACTTCCTTAATAACTAGAGAGATGTAAAATAAAACCATAATAAGACACATCCAACAGTATGGATAAAATAGAAAAGAGTGGGGATACTGAGTTACAGTAAGAATATGTGGCAATTGAAACTCATCTGGAACTGACAGAAAAGTCCATTTGTACACCCACTTTGAAAATGGTGAGGCTTTATCTCATCAATTTGAGGATACTCTGTGGTTCAGCATTCTGTTTTCAGGTATGTGTCCAACATACATGCATACATTGATCTACTGAAGCAGTGCATATCAATGTTCATAGATAAACTTGTCATACTGGCCTTAAACTGGAAATAACCCAAATGCCCATCAATAGTCAACTGGAAAAATAAGCTCTGATATATTTCTACCCTGATATTCTATAAAGCAATGAATATGAATGTATTCTAAGTTTCAAGACATGTATGAATCTCATAAAGGTAATATTGAATAAAAGAAACCAAATACAAGAGAGCAGCCACAGAGGTGCAGCCATAATGCCACACTCCATAATGCTGAAACCATGTGTGAGAGTCCTGGGTTTGTGTCCTGAGGTCTCCCTGTGCATTCTGACTAGCTGAGGCTGGGGGTGGCTCATGGTGTGAAGACCTATTGACGTTAACCTCTACTTAGAAAAAGAATAAGTAAACAAATTTAAAAAAAAGAAAGAAAGAGACTAGACCTCTTTTTCCAAAGAAGAAAAACAATAAAGGAGTCCATTCTATAATGTTCAAAAGAAAAAAAGAAGAAAGGAAGAAATACAAGCTACATTTCTGGGGTCGAGATCCTGGTTATCCTGAAGAGAGGGAGGTGGCACAGGAGATCTTTCAGAGGTTCTGGCAATGTTCTGTTCCTTGATCTGAGTGGCAGTCATATAGTATAAGAAAATTCGATACTAAAAGATGTAAATTCTCCTCAACTTTGTAGATTCAATGCAATTCTAACAAGATTTTTTTTTCTTTTGTGGTATTCAAGAAGTTGATTTTAAAATGAGAGTACAAAGAAACAAGAATAGCCAAAATCTCCTGAAGAGAAACAAGATGAGAAGCCTGTTGCCTGTTCTACCTGCCATAGAGATGTATATTTAAGGGTAATTCACTGAGCCAGCATACACGCCATCCTTAACAGAAAAAAAAGAGGGCTTCTGCAGTGTGGATCAGAGTAGGCTGGAAAGACACCATGGTACAGATGAACCTGGGTGCCCAAACATGCAAATGTGAGGTTGGGGGGAGGGTTTTTCTTTCTTTCTTTCTTTCTTTCTTTTTTTCTTTTTTTTGAGAGGTTTCTCTATAGGGTGCATGCGCTTGCCAGCCAGACAGGGACAGAGAGACAGAAAGTGAGAAATCACCCCCCAAGGGGGATGGCCACACCACAATCCCTTCTCCTCCATTCTCCTCTCAGGATCTTGGGCACGCGCGCTCGGCGTGAGTTTTAAGCCACCGGGTCTGGAACGCGAACCGTGGTCGACTACGTGGGAGTCCAGCAACATAGCCATTACCCTAAGTGCTGGTCCCAAGGGAGGGAGGGTTTTTCTTAGGACTCTGATATATTTAAATTAGGTTTGGTTCTCAAGGGAAAGGTGATTGTGTAATAACCCTCCTGGTCACTAGGGGCCAGTAGAAATAAGAACTTTGTTCATGAGCACATCCCCTGGTTCTCAGAATTGTATTTATTGTCATCTGATACAATGTTCCAGGGACTTATCAAAGCTGTCTTTATCTTCACATCCTTTACTCCAGAATTCACCTCCCCTAGCCAGCCCAAATGGCTGAATTCTGGCCTATACATCACTTAGAATCTCCTTCATGTCTGAAAGACAATGCTATCTCCATATTAAGCACAACCCTTTTGCTTCCCTGTCTCTTACTTTTAGCATTCCTGTGCTCGACTTTATCATGCCTCCAATGGTTTCATCACTCTTCTCCGTCTTGGTCCAATGGTCACTCACTCCGTCACAGTTTTGTTTTCTTCCACCTCTAGTCTGCATACTTGGTTCTATCTCTTCCACCACACTGTAGCCAGAATTCTCAAGATATTCCCTTCCTTGGGACCAGCAGTTAGCGTAATGGCTATGTTGCTGAACTCCCATGTAGTTGACAGCGGTTCAAGTCTCGGACCCGGTGGCTTAAACTCACACCGGGCACGTGTACGTGCATGACCAAGATCCCGAGAGGAGAATAGAGGAGCAGGGATTGCGGTGTGGCCATCCCCCCCCCCGGGGGGGGGGGATTTCTTGCTTTCTTTCTCTCTGTCTCTGTCTGTCTGGCAAGCGCATGTGCCCTATAGCAAAAACCTCTCAAAAAAAATAATAATACATTTTGCTCAATATTCGTGTTCTATTCTAAGCTCTCAACATGGAGACATTCCTCCTTTTCCCCATATTATCTTTAGGCACATGAAAACACTCTGTATTTGGACCCAACAATTCCCTTTTCACTCTTAATTGATGGAAATCTTAGTCTAGTTATCTTTTTTGAGACTTTACCATCCAGTTCTATCAATTTACTATGTATATGACACTGGAAACATGAATCACTCCTTTCTACTTGACATGTAATTATCTCCACAAAATTATCAACGGTGTTTCAGTTGCACAGTAGCTCCTCTCTAAGTGTGTTGGAGCTCTGGAATTAGGAGCAACAAGTGAAAAGCATAGCAAGTAGATCAAAGCCTTCTTTTCTTTCTTCTTTTTTTTTATATTTTTTTTCACTTTGTGACCTATTAAGGATCTTTTCTTTTCTTTTTTTAAGAATTATTTTTGGGGCCAGCAGATAGTGTAGTGGTTAAGGCACTGGACTCCCACATGGTTGACCACAGTTCAAGTCCCAGATTCAGAAGCTCAAAACTCACTGTGTGTGTGTGTGTGTGTGTGTGTGTGTGTGTGTGTGTGAGTGTGCTCAAATCCCAACAACAGGGAAAGAAGGCAGCGAAGGGATTGCAGTACCACCAGGTCCCCTTGGGTGGGGTTGGCGCTTCTGCCTCTCTCTGGTGAGGACTCACGGTGAGGGTGCAGGATACAAGGTTAATATACCTCAGTCAGTTGATCTCTTATATACCTGCAATTAACAATTGAAACTTGAAATAAAGAGCAAAAAATACCATTTGTAATAAGGCCAAAACCATGAAATAGGTATAAATTTCATAAAATATGTGCAGGACT